CTAAGCTTCCTTCCATCATCTCTACCGGAGGAGAACTGAGCATCACTTCACTCTGTCCGTCTACCACTTCACTCGGAGCATCCACAGACAAGAAGACTGGTTCATCTTCTGCTACAGCTTATCCATCACACACTGCAGCACTCTTCACGTTTTGGCTTCGGTTCAGACGAGGGCTGAGCACGGACAGAAGACTGAATTCAACTTCTGCTGCAGAACTCCCTCCGCGCACGTTTCCAAAATGAGCGAGGTGAGTACGCGTGTTAAAGCGTAAAGCATGATTGGCGTTACGACCGGTTCAGTATTTAAGAATCTGTGCAGTTCTTTGAGTTATTCTGCTCGCTGCAGTCACTGCTCTTCTCCACAGAGCGGCAATTTCTCAGCATCGCCTTAAACTCCGTGTTAACGTCAGGCAACTGTGTGGAATTAACGGTGCCATTTCACTCCAGCAAGCATGCGCCGGTAATTCAACCTGCTCTTACAGTATTCCTCTGCGCACAAGCTTTCTGCACATCCCCCAAAATCCTAAACTAAGATGCGGTTAAGACAGAACAAAATGTCTTAGCGCAGCGCTCTTGCTTGGCTGTTGTCCAAAGTCTGACAGAGGTACTGCAATGAGATGCGAGCAGCAGCAGTGACACCAGCAGTGGGTGCCATGAATATCTATGCGCTAAAGCATGAGGGTTTCTCCAAAGTGTGGTCCTGGGACCTCCAGCGGGGCTTGCGGGGAGTCCTAAGACTGACTTGTTTGCTCCCTATAAGGCAAACAAATGTCAGGGTTTGTAGGTTTATGGCCATTTTAGAGAGCGCAGTTGTAAAAGAAAGCTTAGTTTAAATGATATGTATGTAAAGTACTTCATTTCCAGCAGAACCAACGCATCATATTTCCCAAACTTGCTGCCTATGTATTATTTTTGTCCTTGCATAAGGAAGATGATTTTTTGTGATGGAAATGGTCTTGATGCTGCAGGCATCTGCATTAATGGACAAAACTGCAGGACTGTGATCGTGTCTAGTTAAAGCAAACTAATATTTATGGATACCTAAGTGACTGGTAATAATGTAGGTATCAGCTGGATTGATTTAAAAAAATCCATGGGTTTTTTTTTTTTTATCTTTAAAACTACTTCAAATCGAAAATGTACTAAAATAACTCTTGAGGATAAGTGCAGTTGTCTGCTGAAGCTCTGCATCAGTGCTTTATTATTTCTGGATACTTGCCTCCTATTCCTTAGGGTTTAAACTGCAGATTGACCTGGAAGTAGCTCTACACTGGCAAAGGATGAGAAGATGACTGTTGCAAGACCCTATAATATTTGAAATACATGTAAAAAGTAAAATAAACCCCTAGTTTGGTGAAATAAAAAACCCCGCTGATTATTAAGAATCAAATGAGACACACTCACTGCTTTCTTTAGCTAACTTTGAGTGTACCCTTTATCAGATTCTAGGGGTGATTGGTGCCACCCATGGTCACCACCTGGATCTTATTTATGTGATAATAAATAAGGTGGCATGTCTGCACTGTCTTTTCATTGGCTGTAGAATGAAAGTGATAATCAGGCAGATAAAAAAAAAAACAGCTGTTAAATAACTTACAGTACTAGCTGTTACAATATAGTGTGTCATGTCAGGAGGTGCGGCGATGGCCGAGCAATATAGTGTGTCATGTCAGGAGGTGCGGCGATGGCCAAACAATACATTGGATTATATAAACTCACACATGCAAGTACAAATTTACATAACACAAACATAAAGAGCCACATGATGTTACACATGACAAGTGTTAACTTATATAGTGTCATTTAAGAACTATTTTATTGAAAAAAACACCCCACAGTAGAATATCTTAATATTCACTTACTCTTTTTATTTGCAGAAGAAAACTGAGTGCATGTGTCACAGCTTTACAGTGAATTCAATCTATCTGAGCTACACACAGTTTCACTGAAGTAATGACGATGAGCTATTGTGCTGCACCTTCCCACTGCTTTGACAGACTGTCTCCGACAGCTGAAATCTTGTCACCCACTGCCTCATTTCCTCCTCTTTTTCTTCACGAGCCTCTATTCAGACCCCCGCCTTCTACCCTCTGGCATTTTTGTTTCTAAAGGTTTGACTGTATTCTCCTTAGCAACAGTGAGAGGACTCATGCAGTGTATTAATATTTGCATGCACACATCCGGGAGCTAATATCTGCACAGCATGAGGTGGAGAAGTCAAAAAGAGAAGGGGAAGGGAACTGGTATAGGGGAGGGGAGTGGGCGCTTTTAATTTGTAGTAATATGAATGAACTATGCAGGGACAGAAAAGAGCTTGGGAATATTGTATAAGTCATGTTTGGCAGTGACTCCACTTTTGACAGCTGTTTGGTGGATTTTCCTTTAATCCCTGCTTGCTCTCAAAAGCAGGATGGCATTATAACGAAGAATAAGAAATCAGAGTCATTTTAAATACTCATAAAATAAGGTCAGTAATCCTAAAGTGTCTTCATGTCTGACGGAGCATGCACGCACACACACACACACACACACTCAGCATGCAGTAAAAGAAATGGAGCTTTCTCTTTATGCTGATAATTAACACCTACTGTACAGTAG